AGTATATCTAAGAGAAATTTATTCTTTTGTCAGAGTGTTTGAGGATAAACTGAAAGGTACATAGGAAACAAAGCAAACAAAAACATGATACAATACTTAACAACAGAGAAAAAATGGGCAAGAAAGGAAAATAAAAGCACAACACATTAGGCTCCTCTATGAATACTATTTATACAGCCATAATAACGTAAATACTAAAAACTGACAGAACCAAACACTATAACATAAACACACAGGGAGAACATGAGAGAGAGGAGCAGCACGGAGGGAGGAGCCACCAAAGCAAGCCTGCTCCTTATCTTCCACACTGGAAAATAAACGAAACCAAAAAAGTACAAAGTAGCAGTATACGTACCTATTGAAAAATATGGATGTTGATATTAGAAGAAACATCAAGAAGCTGAAAGTGATTATCTCTGAAAAGGGGTGGGCTTTCAAGTACTGACTTTTAAAACTATGTACATGGATTTACCTTGATAAAAAGTAAAAATTAAATCTAAAATAAAAATAATTTAATGTCTTTTATGAAGGTCAACACTAATTAGTGAAAACACCTGAACTACAGGGTAAGTCTGTTATTTTTCTTTATCTCCCACTAATGGTAATTTACTCTGTTCCTCTGATTCCCTTCTCTTGTTTACCTGGGCTTTTTGGTGGGGGGTGCGCCATCACTGAAGAATCCAAAAATCTCGTCTATATCAGAGGCCTGGCTCCCTGTAGAAGCCATCCAGTTTCTAAAATAGATTAAACACCACGGACCACAATTAGATATGTGAAGTATACCATTCAAAATAGCACATACATTAAACAGTTTTAATAATCTGTATACCCTTCAAGGTATTTTAGAGGTATCCTCTGCTTAACAGAAATTAATGAGCATTACAAACTTAAAGAATTAAATTAGTCTAACGCCATTTTGCTTCTGTTCCTGAAGGCCTCCCCTGCAAAACAACGTCAACTCATGTTAATCATCGGCCATCACTTTGTGGAGCTTAAGAAATACCTGTTATTCTCCACATGAGATGGGTTTGGAAAAGACTTAGGGGATAAAAGTAACCCATGGATAAGTGTGTTAACAGCCCCCAATTATCCCTTTACTCTCAACTGAAGAAATCACTGGGTCAGGATAGAATAATCAATACTACTTTGCTGACTGACAGACATTCCCTGTTGCTTGACCATTGTGTGCTCACGGTAGTGGGGCGTGTCTCTCCAAACATGCACTGGACCTTTAAATCAAGCCACTGTGAGGAACAGTAAAGATATTATCAAGCAAAGATGTACGGAAAATGGCCAATTATGTTCAGGTACTTGGATAACTAGCAAAAGTAAAAGAATTACCATGATTATAATGAGAACGATAAAGAGGTTTTAACTGCTCAAAACTTTAGTAAGTTTGCTACATCAAAGAACCATTAATTTAAAAATAGTAACATTGTAAACATACAGTACAGAAGACAATACATACTACCAGTTTTGGGTGTTTTATTACATTCCACTCTCACTATTTACAATTGAACTACTAATAATTATTGAAAGTTTACTGTTTTATTAGAAAGCTTTTTTATTAAACTTTTTTAGGTTTTCTGAATTAATTTTTCTGATAAACAGAAGGCTCAGTTCTTAACCCCATATTCCATCACACACAGAGGAATTTTTCTTTAATATCATAATCATTAGGAAAACAGAAATCATAAAAATCACTGAAGGGAGTTAGGAAGTAGATCACCTTTCCAGTCAAATCTTTCATTTTGCTGGTTAAGAAAGCTGGGGCTTGGGAGTAGACAGATGAATCACCTAACTCAGTAAATCCTGCCTTAACTCAATCATCTGGGATGCTTGTTAAAAGTATATGTTCTTAAAATAAAGTCAATTAATTTTTTTAAAAAAAGTACGTTTCCAGGCTGTAATCCGAAATTACAAAACCAGAATTCCCAGGGGATTCTTACAATGTCAAATAGGAAACACCTGAATAAAATGCAAGCTTTATTTTTCTAGAACCAACTATTTTGTTAAAGTGTAGGATGCACATGAGACACACCATCATGCCATTCTCCTCTCCTTGAAATGTATGCATAACAGTCTAATGGCTTCCCAGTTTACTAATACCAATAGCCAGGTTTTAACCATCCTTAAAATATTTTCATGAACTTTTAATTTATGTGAAGTCATTTCCTATTCTCAAGTCTATGCTCTACATTGTAGACCTAGTGATAGTAACGGAAGAGTGGTAACTTCTACCACATACACGACAGCCCATCAGTTTGGGGATATTTTTTAGAAGTACACAAAGAAAAGCTTATGTGTTTATGTCCTTTCCTTAAATATGGTTCTATAAACCCATCATCTAAGCAAATAACTCCCAAGTATAAACACTGTGTACTGAGAGAGATGAAAGTAAAATGTAGAGGGAAATTAATGTTTAGTGAGTTTTGAAGACAGACATCTTCAGAATTCAATGCTGAATTTGGCTACTAAACCAGAGTTTTATTTAACAAATTCTCTTATGGTGCTTATTATATGTCATGCACTATTTATAAATATTAACTCATTTAATCCCTATAACCTTAAGAGGCACTATTATTACCCTGTTTTACAGGTGAGAAAACTGAGGCACAAATATACTGGGTATTTGGTAGTACCGGAACTCAAACTATGGCAACTCTGCCTCCCAAGTCCATGCTCTTAACTACACTATTATTAAGTAAAAATATCCTCCAAGTACAGGTTGAACAACCCAAATGCAAAATCTGAAACTTTCTGAGCACAGACATGACACTCAAGGGAAATGCTCACAGGAATATTTCAGATTTTGGATTTCTGGATTAAGGATGTTTAAATGGTAAATATAATGCAAATATTCAAAAAAAAAAATCTGAAATCCAAACCATTTTAGATGAGGAATATTCAAACTTTTCTAGCTTTTCAACATTTTTTTAACTTGAAGTCTAAACTATAGACAAAGGAAAAGCCTACAATCTATTTAATCGAAAGCAGATTTACCTGAAATAATCCTGTGTGACCCTTAATAGCTGCGTCATAGCCAGGCACTCCACGGATGCAATCTTGGCAGTCAACTAAATTCAGAAGCTCGAATGTCTGGTGACAAGTACCGTTTGTTGTGTGCTTCTTGTCACCACTAACCTACCAGAACCCTGGCTCAGTCCTGTCATTTTCTCCTGGAAAATATGTAAGATCACTTTTGCTAGATTCTGTTTCAGACAGATGGTCAATTCTTGCTGTCTACCCCTGAATACTAAGCTTTCTGGCTTCTGTTTCTTTACAGAGTCAACAGTTCTGAAGGTCCATTCCATCTACTATAATTTTAAAAAAATTAAACATAGCCAGTAGCTTCTGACTAGAATGTTTAGGATCCTCTTATTTAGGAACTGAATGAGAAGTACATTATGCCCACACTACGTTTGATCACATACTCATCTTGTTTTCTAACAGAATAACATCTTTTCCTCAGTCTAAAGGATGCCTCACATGATAAAATCTCACATGGACACCCCAATGGCACATAAGCATAAACCATATTTTATTTCTTCTACAGTACTGTTTTCAGAAAAAAAATCCATTTTAGTATGTACTCGAAACAATGTGCAGTTGTTACTAAACAGCTTCAAAGCCAACCACGAAAATCTAAAACAGAATTCCTAACATGCATCAACTAGTTCACACATTACTTTCTTTACACGATCACTATTTGAGTTTTCATTTTAGCAGAATTGCTATGTATGGCAAAAGTGGAAAATGTTTTTCTGCCACAAGAAAACAAAGGCAATTACCTGTGGCAGTGTCTTCATTACTCCAATTACTGCTAAGCCACTGAGAAATCCTTCAAGGCCAACAGAGTACAGCAAAATAAATTCAGATACTTGGTAAAAGCTGAGAAAAGTAACAGCAACCTCATTAACAAAATTTTTAAGGCTGGAGTCTTCATATGAGATAGAACACTTATACTTTGAAATTTGTCAGCTTTGCAGGAAACAGAATGCTTATAGACAAGGGGCCAAATCAAAGCAAGTGTTCTAGAAAAAAAAAACAGTAAGAAACATGGAAAAGGGACAAGAGAAATGGGACTGGTTACCTGAATGAAATTAAGTTTGTGCATAGCAGAGGACCTGTGCATTTGAACACACCAAAGCAGCCCAGCAGCTCTTGCTCTGACAGTACCTTGGTGCTGGCAAAGACAGCAAACTCTGGCCCTTCCCTCCACCTAAGAATCAGGGTGAGGTCCCCCCCGGCTTTCCTCCTCCTGAGCTGTGTCTCTCCTGTGCTTCGAGTGCATAGTCTGCAGCTCAAACAAGGGGCAAGCCAGATAGAACTCAGAATAATATACCTGGGGGGTGTATTAGCAGAAAAGAAAAATTCTGATTTTTTAAAGCATTTTTGCTGGAAATAAAAGACCTACCAATTAACCACTTGAGAAAGTAGTATATTTCTGGCTTTAAAAAGATCAGTTGTATTTATAGCTAGCCTTCCCCCCCCTCTATTTTAAAAAAATAAAGCAGTGACTAGAATAAAGCAATGACTTATTTCTCTAGCATAAACATTGAAAAGGATTAACTTCATGTCATTTTTTAAGGGAAAAAGATAGTCATCATCTGACTTGAGAAGAAACCAAATCCCTCTAATTGTGGCTTTTGGACTAATTCCAACACTTCTGGTTCTCAGCAACCGTGGGAGGAGGGAGGAAGGAAAGGACACCCAGGATGAGGTATACAAAAGAGCACTCAACAAGCCTGCCGACAATGAACAATTAAATATCCTGCTTGGGTAGCTGATGAATCCAGTTCCATAATGCAGACTATAGCCTTTCCTAACAGGGTATAAAGCAAAGTTGCCATTTTCCAATGCACAGAGAAATTACGTCTACCTGTGCCTGGATGAGTTTTCTGTGTGCCCCAGTCTCCAAGTATTTCCTCTATCTATGGCTTGGTTGGTTCCTACTTTTATGCGTACGTGTGCCTGACACCCACTACCTTTTGTCAGATAAGATCTGTATCACACTCATTTCCTGAAAATTTGCTTTAACATGGTCACTGATAAAATGCCAGACTGATGCCATTTATGCTTGTCATTTTACCAGCAAACAATGACTCACATCTGAACAATGTGAGAATGGCTTCATCAGAGATAGGGTTTCTGAAAGACCTTAAGGATTGAGAGATATAACCCCAAATTCTAGAATGCCCTTTAACTTAAGTCCCCAAATAAACCACTCTGGTATTACAGGCTCAAGGGCTCAGATGTTTTTATCAGTATTAATTATAAA